AACTCATGCAAGGCAGGAACCTGGAAGCAGGAGCTGATGACAAGGTTGTGAAGAGGTGCTAATTACTGGCTTTTTCCTCATGCCTTGCTCAGCCTGCTTTCTTTTTCTTTTCTTCCCCTTTTTCCGAGAAAAGTTTTCTCTGTGTAACAATTCTGGCTGTGTTGGAATTCACTCTGTAGCCCAAGCTGGCCTCAAACTCACAGAGATCCACCCCTCCTTTGCCTCCTAAGTGCTGGGATTATAGGCATGCACTGCCACTGCCTGGCCTATCAGGCTACTTTCTTATAGAACCTAGGACGCACAATAGGCTGGGCCTTCCCACATCAATTACTGATTAAGAAAATGTCTTACAGGCTTGCCTACAGCCAGCCTAATAGAGGCATTTTCTCAGCTGAGCCTCCCTCTGATGATTCTAGCTTGTATCAAGTTGACATAAAATTAGCCAGCACAGTGTCTGTAGCAAACACAAATACTGATTGCGCAAGAATTTATTGGCCCCCATGGCCAATGTCATCATCTGATGTCTTGGCACGCCTCTCATATTACGAGAATAAAATGTCCACTCTTGCTTTCTGTGTTATGTGGTATACCCCTGAGGGTGGGGGTGGGGGGGGGGAGGGTCTTGCTGACCTTCCCCTAACCAGTGACACGTTGTTTCTGCCCCAGAGCCTTGCATCTGTAGCTCATCTGCTGTCTCTCCTTAGCTCGTGCCACCACATCACTACTTGCTACATGGTGTTTCCATTTTCCTGCCCTGTGGAATGTCCCACATTGTGGCTTTGATTAGTGGCTTCCTTGGCACAACCCATAATAGGTCCCCCAGCATCTGTGGGTCCCCGCGCCTGCCTTCCTGCCTTCCCTAAACAGAGGCTTAGAACACAGCACCCATTTTAATTTGATTCAGTGGTCAGCAGCCAGAAAAGGCTATGCTTGCTGGATCCTTCCTGTTGCCTCACGTCAAGAGCCTATGCTGTCATCTCAGGGGATGTCCTTAGCCCTCAGTAACTCTCCAGGTAAGATGTTATGTGGGGCTATAGGCATGACTTAGTGGTAGAGTGCTTGCCTAACATTTCCCAGAAAGCTGGGGGTGTGGCTCAGAGGTACAGCCCCTGCCTAGAATCCAGTAGTCAGGTGGGTGTGTGCCTCAGCAGTATAGCATTGCCTAGCATGGTTAAGGCCTGGATTCAATCCTCACGGCTGCACAAATTAAAAAATAAATAAGAGAAAAAGCCATCAAATTCTCTACCCAGAACATTTTTGTGTTGTGTGAAGTTGCTCAAATCTGGCAACACAAGTTGACCAACAGCTCCTTGCTGCCAAGAACATTGTGAAAATGTGTCTGGGGTGAGGAAAAGGCCTGCTAGGGGAAAGGGTGTTCTCTTTGGGCCAAGGATGATGTCCCCTGGGCTTAGTGTTAGCAACACCTGGCGATGGCCAGTCCATAGTCTGTTTTGTGTTTGTGTGTGGTGCTTGGGATAGAACCTAAGGCCTTGGCATATCCCTGAGTCATGCCCCAGCCCTTCACTGAGGGATCCTTGGCAGGGGCTTTTCTCCTGAGCCATAGCACTAGATCTCCACCTTCTTTGTTTTTTGAGGCAGGTGGTCTTTTCTTGTTGTTGTTAAATTAAAGATTTTATTTATTTGTTAGATATGCAGTGTTCTACCTGCATGTATGCCTGCATACCAGAAGAGGGCACCAGATCTTATCTTGGATGGTTGTGAGCCACCATGTGGTTGCTGGGAATTGAACTCATGAATGACCTCTGAAAGAGCAGCCAGTGCTCTTAACCTCTGAGCCATCTCTCCAGTCTCATTCATGCCCTCTGAAAGAGCAGCCAGTGCTCTTAACCTCTGAGCCATCTCTCCAGCTCCAGGGTGGTCTTTTTATTGAACTTGTAGCTTGCTGATTCCAGCTAGATCCTGCCTGCCATCCCTAGGAAACTTCCTGTTTCTGCCTCCCCATCACCAGGCTTATAGGAACACAGGTTTTTGTCTGTTTTTAATGTGGGGGTCAGTGAATTCAAATTCAGATCCTTGTGCTTGCAGAACAAGCACTTTACTGACTGAGCCACCCTCCCAGCGGTCCCAGTGGCCCTTTGAATGTGCATCCACCTCACATGACATCAGTTGTGTCATCTGTAAAATTGCACAGGACTGTTGCAAGAACAGAGAGGGAGCGTTGTGTAGTCATGCAGTTTAATGGTAGAGGCTGAAGAGATGGGAGGAGGGAATTGGAAGGAGGATGGCTCAACTTTGTTCCAGGAAATGGTGACCAGATGGTCCTGCCCCCCCCCCCAACTTTCCCTTCCTCAACACTTTTTTTGGAGGAAGTTTTGAGTTGCTCCATAAGTCCACGTCCCCACCCCCCTTTGGTTACTCCTGGCAGTAGAAATGCAAGGAAGGTAACTGGAGAGACGCCCAGTGAGTAAGAGCTCTTGCTGCTCAGGGATGAGGACCTGAGGGTGGATCTCCAGCACCCATGTGACAAGCTGCACTTAGGTGTTTGTTTGCCCCTAGCCCCAGCAGTAAACGGGGCAAAGACAGGAGGTGTGCAGGGCTCGCTGGCTGTCAGCCTAGGCCCACGTTCAGTGGGAGATCATCTGTTAAGGGAGTCAGGCTGAGGGTGATGGATCTGGGCACTTGATGTCCTTCTCTGGCTTCTGCATCTATGTACCTGTGTACACACATGTGCACATACATTACACACAGTCCTGTACATATAACACACAAGATAAACTTAAGAAAGTTGTTTTTTGCTTTTTTTTTTTCAGTAAAGTTGTATATTTTGAAGTTCCTTTTAACATTGGTTTAACATTGTGTAAACAAACAATCCCAAAACCAACATGGGCACTGGCTGCTCTTTCAGAGGACCCAAGTTTGGTTCCCAGCACCTATACGGTGGCTCACAACCACCTGTAACTGCTAGCTTCTTGCTGGCAAAGATCAACCTGTGCTGGTTGGGGCTGGTGTGATGCTGTTCTTGCCTCAGACATTTTTTTTTTTTTCCGAGACAGGGTTTCTCCGTATTGTTTTGGAGCCTGTCCTGGAACTCGCCCTGTAGACCAGGCTGGCCTTAAACTCAGAAATCTGCCTGCCTCTGCCTCCCTAGTGCTGGGATTAAAGGGGAGCGCCACCAACGCCCAGCTTTACCTTGGATCTTTGCTTTAACATGATGGTGTCATTGGGTTCAAGCTCTAGGGTCTAGTTAAGGACTTTTCCATTATGTTTCTGTGTGCATGTATGTGCATGTGAGTGCAGTTGCCCACAGCAATCAGGAGGGGGCGTTAGGTCTCCTGTAATGAGTTCATAGGTGTTTGTGAGCCACCTGATGTGGATGCTGGAACTGAATTCCACCAGAGCAGTAAGCACTCTTAACCACTAAGCCACCTCTCTGACCCCAGTCAAGGTTTTAACTGATAGCAGCATTGTAGTGATTTTGGTAGCAATCCTCACAGAAAAACAGCTATGGTCCGATATCAGACCTTTGAGACAGAGTCTCATGCAGCTTGGGCAGGCCAGGAACTAGGTAGCCAAAGACGAGCTTAAACTCCCAAGCCTCAGGCTTCTACCTCTCAAGTGTTGTGATTACAAGTGTGTGCCTTGCCCCGCTTACTAATACTGTACTGGGTGCTGATGAGATGGCTCGCTGGGTAAAGCAACTTGTATCTAAGCCTGAGGACCAGTGTTTAATTCCTGGGACTCACATGGTAGGAGAGAACCAACTCCTGAATTTTGTCTTCTGATTTCTACACATGCACTGTGCACGCACACACGCACGCATGCACATACACATACTTAGAAATAATGCTTTCTGGTAATTGGGGTTTCTGTGGAAAGATGTTGGGTTTTCTTGCTGTAGACACATGTAGAGAATGGGTAACCATGGGATGGGAGGGACATGTTAACTTACCTGGCAGATGCAAACATATTGCTGCTGCCTATGGTTTTTGCTTGATTTTGTTTTTGTTTTGTTTTTTTGTTTTTTCAAGACAGGGTTTCTCAGTATTGCTTTGGAGCCTGTCCTAGAACTTGCTCCTGTAGATCAGGCTGGCCTTGAATCTATAGAGGTTGCCTTCCAGCATTTGGGAGGCAGAGGCAGGAGGATCTCAGTGAGTTCAAGGCCAGCCTGGTTCTACAAACCAAGTTCCAGGACAGTTTCACAGAAAAATCTTGAAAAACCAGGAGGAGGAGGAGAAGGAGGAGGAGGAGGAGGGGGAGGAGGAGGAGGAGAGGAGGAGGAGAGAGAGAGAGAGAGAGAGAGAGAGAGAGAGAGAGAGAGAGAGAGAGTGCTGAGTTCAGTTGTCCTCTGTCCTCCACATAGGCACTGTGTGTAAACGCATACACATCACATACATGTAATAATAGCAACTGAATAATGTTTTAAAAGCGGAGAAGATAAACTAGGTTCCACTGAGTCATTTACACACATGGATATTCTGTACTTGGGCTGGAACTATGACCACCCCATGTTTATCATGTAAATGACACGTGAGAAAGATGGATTTCCAAAGGACCCAGAGGGTCTGACCCCTTGCTCCCTGCACCAGAAAGTAGAGCTCTTGCCTAGAATTCCTCAGTGAGGAGCTTCAGGTGGTGGTTGACAGGTAGAGTGACTTCCTGGAACCTCCTAGGAAGGGCTGGGGACATGGCTCCATGGTAGAGCTCTTGCTTACACTCCCCCAGTGAGAGGCTGGGGGCGTGGCTCCAGCTAGACCATCTGTGTTGGTTCCAACCACTGAAGGGTTGGAAATGTAGCTCAGGTGAAAAGCACCTGCCTAGAAACTTCCAGTGAGGGGCAGGGACCATGGTTCAGAGGTAGGGGTCTGCCTAGAATCTCCTAGTGAGGGGCTGGGGTGTGACTCAGCAACTGAGCACTCGCCTAGATTTTAGTGGTAAGGCTTGACTATAGTGTATATCCCCAAGCAAACAAAGAAACATACATTGAACTGTGGTCACACAGGGACAGGGTCTCAGTTTGCATCTCCAGCCCCTCCCTGAAGGTAAAGTCCTGACTCCTACTCCTGCCTCTCCCACTGTGGTCCCTGGAGTTATCCTCAGACATGACCTCCTAAGCAGTAGCTGATGCAGGAAGGACTGTGCAGGAGGGAAGTCCCTCCTCTGGGGCCTCTAGAGTCCGCTTCTTTTGGCCCAGATGTGGCAATGGAGGGCAAGGGATCAAGGGACTTATTACCCAAGGCAGGATGGGCCACATGCAGACGTCTACAAGAAGGAGCCGTGGGGCAGGAGCTCATGTGCAGAACTGATTTGTGTCTTGCTGAGTCCACTGCACAGTAAGTGACAGCCCTCCCCTAGTCAGAGCTCTGATGTGGGGGACCCAGGGCCACCGAATGTCTGTCCCTGTGTCCCACTGGGACAGAAGGACACTGTGCTCCTTCTCCAGTACGGGAAGGGTCTGAACTAAGCTGGGGCTCTTGCTTGTCTCTTGCAGTTCCTACAGGATGAAACACCTCTCACTTCTCTTCCTCCTCTTCCCTGTCCCGGGCTTTCTGGACCCCAGCAGGTCACTGTGTTCCATGGATGAAGCCACTGACAAGAAGATCAAGCAAAGCTTCAGATCCCTACGTGAGGAGCCCTCACCCAACCTTGCTGAGGGCCTCCTCACAGGCTTTCCTCATCCCTCATGGGGCCACAGACTCACCCAGCTGCAAGGCTAAACTCAGCCTCAAACTCCCCTGTCTACAAGTTCTAACCCAACCTCACCCTGCCCTACCTTGAACCACAGCTCCAACCCACAACCTAACTTATCCCTACCATCACCCCCAAACCTCCTCCCCTCACCCCAAAAGGCCTCACTTTGTGTTTGAAGGACAGGTGTGAGCCACCATGCTGGGACAAAATGTTTTACAACATACATGTGCACTGTACATATGTGTGTATCTATGTGGTACACGTGCGAAGGTGCGTGCAGTGTGTGTGTGTGTGTGTGTGTGTGTGTGTGTACGTACGGATGTGTGGAAGCCTGAAGGTGCTGTGGTGCCACCGTCCTTGATCACTCTTCTTTGTTTGTTGAGGCAGGGTCTCTCAGTTGAACCCAGGGCTTGTGTGCTTGGGATAGTCTGGCCAGCTTGTTCTGGGGACCCCTTGTCTGTCTTTCTCCAGGATGCTGGGATTATAGGTGGCCCCACACATGCCTTCCTGACTTTTAGGTAGGTTCAGGGGATCTGAGCTCTGGTCCTCACACTTGTGAAGCAAACTCTTTTTTTTTTTTTTTTTGAAGTAGGACCTCTCTGTGTAACAGCCCTAGCTGTAGACCTGGCTGGCTTCAAATTTACAGAGCTCCTCCTGCCTCTGGAGGGCTTGGATTAAAGGCAGGTGCCACCACTGCCAGCAGTGAATCACCCCTTCTGTGTTCTTTTCTGCAGTGTCAGAAGCAGTAATGAACATTGGCCTACGATGCCGGACAGTCTCTTCCAGAGGGGGGTTGGCTTCCTGTCCAGAAGGTGAGTGCAAACTCTGTTGTTCAAACTTTCTGGAAGTCCCTTGAGACTCCTCTGCCTTCCTTGTCTCCATCTTCAATATCTACTTCCTTGAAGCTCTGTCCCAGCTTCCCAGCCCAGCTCCAGGTCTCCATTAGTCCCCATCCAGTCATCCTGCTATCCCGGGCAACAGCCTCCAGCCTCCTCAGCCTGTCTCCACCTCCCGCTCCTGCAGTTTCCCAGCTTCTCAGGGGCTTGTGAAGCAAACTCTTTTTTTTTTTTTTTTTTTTTTTTGCAGGCTTAGCAGTCACCAGCTGCTCCTGTGGCTTTGCTTGCGGTTCGTGGGATGTTCGAGAGGGAACGACATGTCACTGCCAATGTGCAGGCATAGATTGGACAGCAGCCCGTTGCTGTGGCCTGGGGGTTGGTGCCTGAGGTCTTGAGAGTTGAGCTTGCCTGTCATATGCTGGAGCAGAGGGGTGGGGATGGGGAGAGGGCAGGGGCAAATCCAAGATGAGGGGCTGGAAATACAGAATGAGATGATGATGTTGCTGCTGATGGTAATGATAAAAATGCATGGTAAAGTGGACATGAGTCTTACCTGGTTTCTTTAGTGGAGAAGGAGATGTATGTGGATTGCTATATAGCATTGAAACTTTTTTTCTCTATCATGCCTTTTATCACAACACTCCAGAGGCAGAGGCAGAGGCAGAGGCAGAGGCAGAGGCAGAGGCAGAGGCAGAGGCAGAGGCAGAGGCAGAGGCAGAGGCAGAGGCAGAGGCAGAGGCAGAGGCAGAGGCAGAGGCAGAGGCAGAGGCAGAGGCAGAGGCAGAGGCAGAGGCAGAGGCAGAGGCAGAGGCAGAGGCAGAGGCAGAGGCAGAGGCAGGTGGATCTCTGATGGGGAAAGTGCTTCTGTGAATGTGTTTGTCTTATTGGATGATAAATAAAGTACTGTTTGGCCAGTGAGGCAGCAAGTTAGGCGGGACTAGGAGTCAAGGAGGATTCTGGGAAATGTAGTAAAAAAGTGGTGATCCAGGCAGTAAGTGACATAGCAGGGAGACTCATATATAAGCAAGGGCAAGAAGGAAGTCATTCCCTTCTCTCTTCCTCCTGGTCTTTGTGGAGTCACCATGTGAGCCTGGGAAGACAGGACAATTCCGCTGGCGTCTGATAAGTCTTATAAAATATATAAATTTATGATAGTTAAGACTGAGCTAGCAGATGAGAAATCCTAGTCATTGGCCAAACAGCATTTGTACCCAATATAAGTCTCTCTGTGTTACTTGGGACCTTAATGTGGTGGCAGGTGGAACTCCTCGGGCAGCTTTGGAGTAAAGACTTATTGTTACAGATCTCTGTGAGTTTGAGTCCAGCCTGGTCTACAGAGTGAGTTCTAGGACAGCCAGAGCTACATAGTGAGAGCCTGTCTTGAAAAAAAAAATAAAAGAGAAGAATAATAACAACAAATCTACACACAAGAAACTTAAGGGGAATCAGGCACACACCTTTAATCCCAGCCCTTAGGAGGCACAGGCAGGTGGATCTCTGAATTCGAGGCCAGCCTGGTATACAAAGCCAGTTCCAGGATAGCCAGTGTTATTCTTTTGTTTAAGCTTTTATAATAAACAACAGCAGGGATTGTAAGAACAAAACACCTGGATGACCCTGACCCCGCCCCCTAACAACGGGGCACTCACTCACCCGCCATGCATTGCGACCTTTCCTTTAAAAGGTCCTGCCACCCATCCCTCGCTCTCTTCCTTTCGACTCCTCTTGGGTTGGCTGACTACCCATCCCCCTCTCTCCCCTTTTCTGGTAAATAAACTCCACATGGGTTGTTTATCCATT